ACTGAGAATTCGCAAGAGATCGAACATGTTAAACGTATAAATGAGATTTTAGTAACCTATCAAGTATATAATCGTTGAAATGTTGAAAAGCAGTGTTGAAGTATGTAACAGACTCACAATAAATATTTCTTTCTATAACTATCGTCTCTCTTATTCTTGCTCAAACGCTTAAATCAAATATTTAATAAATATAATCATATTTTATTCATTTCTATTTAATAGCTTAAGCCTTTTCTAATTATTTTTCTTCTTATATTTTTAAATTTTTACAATATTATAATTGTATGGAACTTTAGAACGCTATTCGAACAAATTTATCACTACATAAATGTTTCGTCCGTTACGAAGATGACTTCGGCTCTTTTTGGATGGTGGATGATAATGAGTTCATTAAGAGACGACATTTGTCTCGGGGTCGCCCTCGCAAATATGAACCTTCATCGTCACCCAATTCAAATCACTCAGACTGCGCTAATAATAAAGACTCTTGTGATAATTGCTATCAATCTTGCAATAATACACTTATTGATCCAGAAAATAAAATAGAAAATAATGACATAACTCAAAAAACATGCTTTAACTCATGCAACCGTCACCGTAGTAAAAGACAAAAACAAAATATTGACGAGAGTACATATAGGAGTGAATGCATGGGCCAAGTTTCAAAAACAATTGTCAATTCGGAGGAACTTCCTTTGTCAAGTAATGACTTTATTAATATCGATGATGATTCAGGGACTATGTTTCAAAAAAATATTAATCATTTTTACCATTAGTGCAAATAGTTATGTAACATATTTATGAAGTGTGCATTGCTGTTATTTATATATATATAGATATATAGATATATATATATATATATATATAGATATATAGATATATATATATATATATATATATATATATATATATATATATTCATTAGGATTCGGCAAAAATTGGACATATGATAAATGTAGAGTTATTAATAAGATAATCACAATCAATAATTAATAAATTGTTTCTATATTGGGTATTTACCATTATACGTGTCCTAACATTGCATAAATTGAAGATAATTACCAACAGCAAAAATAAATACACATTAAAAAGTACGTATCGTTTACTTTTCCTAACTGCGAGAATATAGGGGATGCGCCTTGGCCTACAATAAGAGTTATATGAAATATAATTTGTGTATAAACTGTTCATATTTGTCTCCCAACTTGAGCACTTTTACTTTTGTTTTGCCCGTTAATCTGAACTTTAAACGGTCTGATAGTATGAATAAACGTGTCGATCTCAAATCCAATAAAATCGAAAGATTTAAATTTTAAAGATGTAGCAAAATTGATCAGTTTAATCAATTCAAATTTACTGTGTAATAATAATAATTTTTAAAAATAATAGAATATTAAAATAATATTTATATATTTCACAATTTTGATGCCTCTCTTATTTCCACTAACCCTTTAAAACACCAATCATTTCAAATAATTGTACATACAAACATATCTTTTATTTTCCATACGGCACATTCACCTTTAAATATTTATAAGAACTGATTGGTAATCTTTAGAAAAAAGAAATCCGACTTAAATTAGTAATAAAATTAAAATCGTTTGACTTTTCTAAGCAATCAACCTTTAGTCATTATGAAAACGCCAGCAATTGTTAGTCAATGAACGATTTAAAATAAAGGCTTAAAGTCCGACTGAAGCAAATTTCACGAAGTTAAATGAATATATTGGTTTTGTACAATGTCCGACTTGCTGTCCGTCTGTTTTCCGTCAGTCCGTATGAAAGCACTATTCTTGTACTCGGGAGTACAACCCACAAAAAAAAAAATATATATATATATATAAAAATTGTATATGTCTACGCTGATAGGTTGAGTGGCAAACCTATAGCAAAACTACAAGCTTCTGAATTCGATTATTGAATTACTGTTGAACTCTTCTCTCGATGGGCCAAAAATAAATGTTGCGTGCTTTGGAAAACACGACTGCAAGGGCCGCAGTTACAAACTAAAATTTTAACAACCAAGATTTACATTAATATGCCTCTTAAGGTCGTGGCCAATCGGAGAAGTGAATGAATAATATGCTGCGTATATCGCCCAAGTACACAGTTCTTACTTATTTGTTTTTGAGCTAATGATAGATACAAGCTAAATTTGTGATGTAGCCTTAAAACGTTTTTATTCAACTCCAAGCGGTGCAGGAGGATGATTACAATATCACCTCTGTGCGGGGTTCAGAGTATCTCGTCTCGGGATATCTATTCGAGACTGTTCGACTAGGAGAGATCCTGAGTAAGTAATATTCTTATTATTGAGTTTCTTTTCTAACTATGTACATTAGCAAAACGTCAGCAAAAGCATTAGCATTGGTTGAAGGAAAACGGTCACATCCCATAAAGTATATATTCTTAATCTGGACAACGAGTTGAGTAAATCTGACAATGTCCATTAGTTCATATGCCTCATCCCATTTTCTTATATTCAATCAATGTCGATAGATTGGCTTTGTTTTTTTAAGCGTAAATTGAATACCACAAATGCTGGACACTTTAAATTTACTGTTTAGGTTCATCATTATGCACAGATTTTGTATATTTTTAATTTTTGATATGTCCCCACCATTTCCCAAAAAAAACCTCTAATAGAGATTTGAGCTTTGCAAATAAAAAAATTTGGATGAAAAGAAAGTATTTAAAAATTAAGTTCCGGTAGTAATGCACATACCCGTGCATGTGTTGCTCGCAATGCTTATATAAAAGAAACGTGGTATGATTAGTGTACCACCGCTTCGCCGAGTTCAGGCTCTCTTTTTGTAGAGCCATCCCGACCCAAGAGAGGTCTTGAGTCAACTGGGCTAACTTATTTATTGAAACCCTTTCTTTATACCCATTGAAAATGAGAAATCAGTGTATAATGGTTTCGTGCAACTGTATGTAACAAACAGAAGAGGGCGTGACAGACCCCATAACGCGTATAGATTCTTGATCAGGACGACAAGCTGAATCAATTGAGCCCTATCCGTCTGTATGTTCGACCGTCTGTCTGCATAATTGAATAACTTTATTGAAACCCTTTCTTTTATACCCTGATCCCATTGAAAATGAGAAATCAGTGTACAATGGTTTAGTACAATTGTATGTAACAGACAAAAGGAGACTGTCACAACTCCTTGAAGATTCTTGATCAGGACGACAAGCTGAGTCGATTGAGCACTGGCCGTCTGTCTGTCCGTATGTGTGAACGCGTCGATTTCAGCATCTCTAAGAGCTAAAGATTTGAAATTTTTCGGTGTACAGCACGCGCAAATCCAGTTTGTTTCAAATAATCGATAACTATTCCCGTTTTATTGTTATCGATTAAAAACATGATCGAAAGGCAGTTATTAAATTATAGCCCGGCTTAAGAGTTAGAACTAGAGCCTCCAAATGTTGTATTTATTTTTATGTATATTCTTTACAATTTCGATTTTTGTTATATTTTCTATACCGGCTTCAAATTGCCCCATATTCATTTAAGTTAAGTTGGAAATGTGGCCAATATGTGAAGGAGTTTGCATTTCTACTAAACCAATAGAATATCATAGATCATATGCTGAACATTTCATTAAAATCCATTAAGTAAAACAGAAGTTTTAAACAAAACGTAAGCAACGCCAAGCTCTCGCATGCGTGAATTCTTGTTTATTCCAAATATCTAAATTGCAATTGAATTGTGCTGGAACTATCAGGTGTTACGTATGTTGAGATTTGCAACTTGTTGTACTAGCGCAAGGCGGCGCGCGTTGGCGACAATAACTGGGTTCGAGCCAGGCGAAAAGACGTTTTTTTTTATTTTTATAATTAATCTTGGTGTCCCAATGTCGGCTTTTATGTTTTTTAGTTTTTTTAGTACTCTATACAAACTATTGCAAACATTAAAAAACCCAGATAGGACTGGGATCAGGTATCTCTTATTCGGGCACCCCAACTAGAGCTTTGTTACTTTTGTACTATACTTGGATCATTTTTCTTGTATATAAACATTCTAACTTAGCATAGCCCACAGCCTAGACCTTTCATCAATAAAACTTTACCGTAAGTGGAACTATACATATAAGATATTTATTTTAGTCTGGCTAGAGTTAGCCTTTAAAATTTATTCTGCAACAATAAAATAAAAATAATTCAATAAACCTTCCATTATCTTAATAATCATTCAATCATTCGCCCACCTTCTCTCCTCTTTCTATTTACAAGCGTCGCTGATCATACAATAAATGTTTTTTTCTTTTCATAATTAAGTCAACTAATATTCCTTTATATTATGAGCGGCATTATAATGAAAACATGTACAGCGACAAACTTCCATTATATCTGCATTTAGCCAATTAATAAAATAATGGAAAGCGATAATTGATCCATTTAAATATGTATAACACACACTATACTTATAATGAATTTATTTACTAGGCAAAAATCCTCTTCGATTCCAGACATGCACAGTCCTCAGCTATACTATTTATCCAATCAAATGCGTGTATTCTTGTCTATCCCAAACATCGAAATTACGATTGAATTGATTTGCAACTTCTGGCACAAATAGTACAGTGGCGGTTTAGTAGAAGTTGTATTCCTTGCCGAGACGTTTTTTTATATTTTTTTTTATTTTCAAGTGGCGGTGTTGGTAGAGTTGATGCGCGTTGAATAAGCGGTGGTTCGAATCTTGGTGTCCTAATATCGGCTTTTATTTATTTATTTTTTTTTTGCTAGATAGAAACTATGCAAAATATTACAAAAAAAGCAGATAGGACTGGAAGCAGAGTATCTCTTAGTCGGGCATTCCGACTAGAGGTGTATGTCTCATTTATGTACACAGCATCGGGGCTTTAGGCATTTAAATTTGTGTTGATGCTTAAGCGTTCCTGAAGTGTTAGATTACCCTGAACTGACGTTTTTACAAAATAATAAAAACTCAACTTAACGTATGTAATTGTAAATGGTAAATTATGTTGAATTTACAGTAGAATTAATTATTTTGGGACCACGCGACGCAGCCATTTAAGAATGCAGTAGTACCCAAGCTGTGAAAATACATTGCAATGGGAAATACAATAAGCGGAAAGTGATTATGGAACGATGGGCAAAGGCAACCGTTTTCATATATCTATGGTCGGCAACACGCCCTCATTGGGTTGTGATAACCCCCGCTTGGAGACAGGTATGTTTGTGTACTTCATGTTTTATTTTATCTTTCTTATTTCTCAGCATTTCTCCGACCGATGTCATATGCTTTCGTATGCATTTGTATACTCTGTAGTCACTGAAAATGGGAATTCAAAGTAAAACGGTTCTTTTTTAAATGTATATAACAAGCAGAAACAGTCGTAACAGATTCCATAATGTTCTTGATCAGGTCGACGAACTGAATCGATTTGTCCATGTCCGTCTGTCTGTCTGTACGTCCGTCTGTCGGTCCGTACGTCAATCCATCCCTCGGTTCGTCCGTCTATTCACATGTGTGCACGCGCCAATCTCAAAGCCTTAAACTGCTACAACTTTATTTTGTATTTTTATATTTTTCCTGTTAACGTTTTAATCCTATCAATTAAAAACAATTTAGAGATTCAGTTATTAAATTCTATCTCATACTCCCTAATTTTACATATAAATTCTTCAAGTCTCCTCCAGGTAATATGTTTGATCAATGGCTGGCAAAGCCGAATCATTAATGTGGGTCTTATTAAATAGAATTTGTAGATCATATGATGAAAATCCATCGAAATTTGAGTAAAATCCGTTCTTTTTTATACCTTAAACCCATTGAAAATCTGAATTCAGCGTATGCTTTTGTGACACACCATAAAAAGTCTATGTGTTCTTGATCGGGATGAATAGATCGAATTTTTTACAATTTTTCTTCGATAAATCATGACATTTCCGTATTATAGGTACAAATTGATAATTTGCAGTCATTCTTTAAGAACAGCTTGAATATCGTAGAATCTGGCGACTTCAGGCTTACAGTGTAGGTTCTTGTTAAAAAAACGCAGATTTCCCTCATTTTCGATTTGGTATTGTATGGCTTGTGTTTTGACTGAAACAATCATCTAGATGGCATAACTATGTCTCAAAAGATTTATTAAGAAAGTCCATCTAGAAGGAAAATTATCCAATATTAAAGGCTCTATAGTCAAACCTGTACTGCAAGCCCAAGAGAGTATGTGATTGTCCATGTGCTATTTGTTATGTGTGTGTGAAGAAAAAACGCGGTATATCACCGATAGTCAGAGTTATGCCCTGAACGCATTGAAAATGAGAAATCAGGAGGTATTAGTTTTGATAACATGTATATAACATATAGAAGGAGGAGTGGCAGACCCAATTAAATATATATATTCTTCATCAGGACGACAAGCCGAGTCGATATAGCCCTTTCCGTCTGTCGGTTTCTCCGTCTGTCAGTATGTGTGAACGTGTCGATCTCAGCATCTATAACAGGTACAGACTTGTCAATTTTGTAAGTCAGTGCATGGCATGCTGAAGCTTCCAAATTTTGTATCTAGTTTTATGTATATTTTATACAATTTTGATTTTTGGTATGTTTTGGACACCAGCTCTAATTTCCTAAATTATTTAAATATAAGTTTAGTTGAAAATAGGAACATTCTTGCATTCTTAAACCAAAAAAAAAAAACAGCACACACAACAAACCAGCAAGAACAACAATCAGTAAGCAGCGGTCCCCTGTTCTAAAAATAGAAATAATGATAATGTGTCTTTAGGACATATTGGCGAAAATAATAATTCTGCGTGGCAAAATGTACCAACAAATAAACTCTTAATTAAACGGAAAAATGAACAGTCTCGATCTGTGAGAAGGAAAAGTCTCTGCACTGGCCCATCTACATCTCGACAGGCTAATCCCTTTGCCCTAAGGGCAGATCAGGAAGATAAATAATAAAGCAACAAATGCAACAACAGCGAAAAATGAAAAACCACCTCCAATTTTTTTCCCAATGTGAGTGACATACATGGATTCCTTCAATTCCTCAACCCCTACATTGACGCTACTGAATGGTAAAAACTTTGAAAAATATAGGAGCTTAGTTAAACTACTTTTGGATAAAAAAGTAGACTACCATACATTTCAACTTAAGCAGGAAAAGGCATTTAGAGTTGTAGTTAATTACTTGCATTACTCGGCACCCATCGATACAGAAAAGCGTGCAATAGAAAAGCAAGGCCACGCAGTCAGAGGTATTCATAACATCAAGAGTCGTATTACCAAGGAGCCACTTCCAATGTTTTTCGTGGACCTGTAACCAAATAAAAACAACGTGGACATCTACAAAATAAATCATATTGAGAATGCCATAGCAACAATCGAGCCGCCAAGGAAAGTGAGCGATATGGTACAATGCTTTTGATGCCACGAATTCGGGCACACTAAAGCATATTGCAACAAAAGATTTAAGTATGTTAAATGTGCTGATAACCACCCAAGCATCAATTGTCCTAAATCGAAAGATGCACCAAGCACCTGTGCCAACTGCCTTGACAGCCATGCTGCTAGCTACAAAGAGTGCAGAGTCTATCAGTCTATTACCAAAAACAGATATATCAATAACAAAACAGCAATGGCTATTGAACGACGAAGATTGACAACAAACATTCCAACAAGCAATGTTAATTAATTTTCAAATAATGCAAGCTATGCCAAATACTACGAGGTGACCCTGTCATACAAGAAAACTGTTCTCTAGAAAGAATTGAAAAACTACTAGTAAAACAATCTGAACTAACAAATAATCTACTTAATATGATAATGTTCCTTGTTAATAAGTTATGCAATTAGATCTCCGCATGGAATGCTAAAGGACTTTCCAATCATCGTAATGAAATAACCTTATTTATTAAAGTCAACAAAATTGATATATAAGTTAACAACAAAGTTGTTTCACAATTCTCACTGCGCTCAAGAACCACTACAATAGCCCAAAAATACTCCAACTCCGCAGTCTGGAATTCCTAACAACAAAGTTGGCGCGCGATTCTCTCTGCGATAAAGAACCGCTGCAATAGTGAACTACCGTTATTCAGAAAATTGTCGAAGTCTTTAGCTAGCTAAGGTACAGTCGTCTTCAGAATAGAGTAATCTTAAATCTGGGATCAAGCTGATCACATGTAAAAATAAAACTCAAGATCTTTTATTTTAACTGGCTCCCGAGCAGGGACCGATCGCGAATACGACAGTGCAAAAAGTCATCTAAGTACGCGAATCGACCACGATTAACCACGATATAACAAAATGTTTCTAAGTGCGTGTAATCATTACTTGACACGATAAGGTCAAAACAAATCGCATCCACAGTTTGCGCAACGTGGACTCACGCTTTGTAAGATCCGTTCTCAGAGCACATCTTGGATACCAAAAGGGATTAATTCGGCGTCATCGAAGATGGAGCACGCACCAACAATAGTTTTGTAAGAGAATGAAAATTAGTGATTAAGTGAAGGTAAATTGGAAAAAATATATAAGTGAAATAATTAATAAAAAATTAAGAAAAAAACAGCGATTCAAATTAAAAACTAGTTACAAATATAAACTAAGAAAATTAATAAAGAAAATATATCGAAGTAATATTAAAATTTGAAATTCTATGAAGCAACAAAGAAAAATAGTAATAAGAATATCAAAAGAAACAAAAGCAAATATAAGCTTAGTGTACCGGATTTGTAGCTGCGCAATGTAACCTGAAACGAAAAAAATAAGAAAAAGTAAAAAACAAACGCTCTGCAAAAATTCGCCGATTCATTTTTACTCTCAATTTAAATCTTCCACTTGCAAAATTTAATACTTAAGCGAAGCAAATTAAAGATTAATCTTATCATTTTGAAACCAAAATTTCACAAATTAATATGTTCACAATTTCATATAATATATGAAACTCATTTTGCTTTTACAATTTTTACACTACAAAATTTGTTTACATATATATGTTTATCAAGCATTTCTTTAATATTACATTTTATCCATAAACACTTTCGTTTATACTAACAAAAATTAAGTAACCATGGCCAACCCGAAGTACTTAATACAGTTGACACAAACGAATTACCAACTTCAGCACCAACCAACGCCAATAACGACGAATACAACCAGAGACAGCAGCAACGAACAGTATGTAGACAGACGATGCATCAAAACTATAGGAGTGGTGAAACAAATTCTATCGAAAACTATATAGACCGAATAATCAATGATAAGCAACAATACTAAACAACATGAGTGTTAACAGTAATTTTGTTAAGGCAGCCATCTATAGCATAGATCCCGACTCTAGAGGCAACACTTCTGACTTAGACCGTGTGCCGGACATAGTTTTCAGGAGATCCAGCTGAGTTTAGAGACATACTTTAGTATTAAAGGGTCACCTAAATATTTTGGTATTTGGTATTCAAGTACTAGACTCTTACAGTATGCCCCTAAACTGAAAGGCAATTGCTCGATGCCACTCTACCAACTAGAGTACCAACTAACCACTATGATACAAAACGGACAACAGACAGTTGAGGAATTTTACCAGAATATCTACAAAAACCTGTCTTTAATCCTCAATAAGGTTAGTTGTATGAATTTAGACCGATAAACTGAAGTGGTTATAACAAAATCCTATAGGAATAGGGCATTTGATGCGTTTAGAAGAGGCCTACGTGGTGATTTACCACGCCTTCTCGGCATCAAGGAACCAACTGACTTGCCGCAAGCATTGCATTTGTGTCTAAAATTAGAAAACCAATCCTAAAGGACAACCCACGCAAACAATAGACAACAAAACGTAAAATTCAGAAACATAGACCAGAACCCAATTTCGGCACCTCGTAGGTTCATACCGACTCCATCAAACAACCCAACTTATTTACTTCCAACATATTTACCACTCCAGAATCCACCTCCAGTTCCGCCTCGTACACTAATATCACAACCCAGACAATTCTACAGTTATAAGCAGGTACAGCCCGGTCAATTCCAAAGACCACCAAACCAATTTGGTCACCAACAACAATATTGGCACAACTCACCCAGACCCAACCAGTAGCCCCAGTCCGTCCGACTGCTGTCAAGCCAGCAGAACCAATGAACGTCGTCCGTAGTATGCAAACAAAAATGGTCAGCTTTACGAACAGACCTCAGTTTGAGATCGGTAAAAGGCCAAC